AAAAAAAAAAAAAAAAAAAAAAAAAAAAAAAAAAAAAAAAAAAAAAAAAAAAAAAACAGGATTTTCTCGAGATTGGAGGCTGTAAAAAAAAAAAAAACCACAAAAAGTACTGGGGACTGTAAAAAGAAATAATAACAAAGGTTTTATCCTTCCTTGGGAGGTCCATGTGTTGAGAAAACAGCATAGGACTGGCTATTTTTTCCCCAAGAAATTTTGCAGTCATTGTTATCTTAGAATTCCTAAACAGGTATTTTTAAAAAATGCTTAAAAAAAAGGAAATATGGTTATAAGTACAGTCATTCTAGGGAGCAGGCTGGAGCCATAATTGTGACTAAGAATCACACACAGTGGTGGTGTACTAGCTCTCTTCCAGCCCTTTGACACCATCACATTAAACAAAAGAAAACAAAACAAACAAACAAAAAAGTTGTAGGTTATAATATGGGTTAATAATGACTTCTTGGAAATTCCTGAAGGACTGGTATAATGAACAAGAAGTATTCTAGCCTGAGAATGTCTTACTTGATTACATCCAATGAAAGCAGATAGTGGGAAAAGGAGAGGGGATGCTACACTAGTTGTGTATCAATGGAACTTGTCTTTTGTAGAAATGCATGTGAGGATGTGGGACAACTGCAGTGCAAAAGTACTTGGGAGATTAATCGAAACAATCAGAATCACAGTGTGGTTCTGATTATAGAAACAAGCAGTTAGCTAGAAAGAAGTTTGGATTCCCCTCTCCCCGCTTTCTTCTAGGAAATGGAAAGAAGTCCGTCTTTCCGTCAGGCACTGCTCTGGAACACACTGTTTTTCATATTCATTAAAATTGAATGGTTGCTTTCAGTTTAGACCTTTGGAGTTTATGTCCATATAATTAAAGTTTCTAGTGGTTTCATCTAATGTTTCATCTAATCTGCAGCTCAGATGTCTAGAATTGCCCATGCAAAACAGAATCTTATTTAAGGGAGATAATAATAGTGTTTAGGCATAGACACACGCACAAATGACAGATTACAATCAGTGAGTCCCATGCAGTTTCAGGTCAAGATTTTTAATTGTGACTCCTGTGAAAACAATGTGCATACCAGTGGGACTGTTTTCTTTCATAGATGTAGTTATCTTTTCCTTTTTTTCCTCAGTATGAATGGAAGATGTGGAAGATTTCTTTCACACATGCTCTTTGAGTGTGAAAAGAGAGCTGAAAGATGTATGACTCTCTGTACTCTCTTCCCATACTCTATGTATACTCCATGTATG